TCGTCATCGACGTGAATTCCCCGTTGTAGTTTGACCTCCATCGTTCAGGTGGGTAAACAGTACGGCTCAGGATTTTGTAGGGGAGAGAGTTAGGCTCCGTGCTTTGGTTTAAAGTGGGTCATAGGACATCGTGAACAGCCGTGTAATCCTGTAAAATCCCAAACGATACCACCACTGCTTGGCCTTGAAATAAAAAATTTCGCTAATTTTTGCGTGGGACACATTCAGGGCGAGACCCATATTAGCTTAATTTGGTATTGATCAGAGATATAGCCTCTCTCCTACAGTTCGTCACTAGTTGTAATCTAACAGAGGTACAAGTGAGTGCTTTAAAGGTCGCTTGGCGATCCGAGAAGATATCAAGATGAATATTTGGGAAAAAATTATAAGTAATGTTTATGTCAAAAGATTTCGCACCAAATGAAAATAAAAAAAAATAAATAAAAATATGCAAAAACTATATGCATTTTTTTAATATACTAAAATATGCAAAACCATGCATTTACTGCAAAATATGAAAAAATATTCACTCACGATTGAATGCCATTTCAAAGGAAATTTCATGATTTGTAAAGATAATTTAACCATTTCCATTTGAGGATGCCCAATAAAAACATGCATTTTGCATGAGATTCCGAGCCCAAAAAATAAGGCTGTTAAGGCAATGTCACACGTATGGCATATTTGCACAGATTTGTACATTTTTTTTTATTGGGCTATTGGTACAAAATATAAACATTGGGAATCAAATTTTTTTTTTGTAGTCACACGATTGGTACAGCGAACTTCTATGGAAAAATTTGAATAAAATGTTTTTCATGATTGGGATAAAGAAAAATATTTGTGCATTCACGCGATTGGGATACAATTTGCACCAAATTTTGGGCAAATGACCAATTCTGTGGCACTGCCTTTAAAGTTAAAAAATAAAATCATTATCTCTATATGTCAAGTTACGTTATGGTATGTTGTGTTATGTTACGTTACGTTATCTTATGTTATGTTATGTTATGTTATATTAAGTAAGTTATGTTATATTATGTTAAGGTATGCTATGCTATGTTATGTTATCTCATGCCATGTTAAATTATGCTATGCTATGGTATGCTATGAAATGTTATGTTATGTTGTTCAAGGCAATTCACCTCAACTCACCTTAATCACCACACCATTACTCACCCAATTTCATCTCAACTTTAGTGGTTGATTTTCTACCGTTAGGCGAACACTAGTAAATAAAAAATGCCTGCAGGCATTGCCGAAAAGTTAATTTAATTAGTTTTGTTGATTTGTCAATGTTTTACAATGCCCGCAAACTACTCAACATCAATTTGAATATTAGTATCAATCATAGTCCAATCACAAATAGTTAATTGAAACTGCTATTAATTATAGGCAATGGTTAATTTGGACATATCGCTTGCAAACACGCTCACGCCAGTTTTAATAGCAGCAGCCTCAATCGGCTTTAAGCACCAGTTAGCATTGAAGTCCGTTTAAGCTGAGACGCTTCTGTCGAAACTACCGGAAATGCGCTAGACTGATATTTACATACATACATATGTACATGTGTTGTAAAGATACGGCTATGTTTCGAAAGTAAGCACGCACTATTGCTTTTTGATGCGCAACATATTTACTTAATTAAAAAATTATAAAAAAAAGGTTTAAAAATTAGTAGCTAATGAAATTTAAAATCACGTAAAAAAAACTGCTGCTTAACTTGCAATTAGTCCCAATAGCTTCATCAAATTAAAACCGAAAGTAGTTTTTTATTTAATTTAATAAAAATCTTTTTTTTTATTTTATTTTGTTTTATTTTATTACCATCTGTTTAAGCCAAAAAAAAATACTGTAAATAATTAACAAATTTCATAAGCCTTTGCAAACGAGACATGCGCGTCACTAGACTTTTAATAAGCCATCGCTTGTAGCGTATCTGATGCCGCTTTTGGTAAGTAGGTGCATCTGTATGTACATTAGACCGTACCACAAAAAAAATTGTTCGCCGTTAAACTTCTAACGTGAAGTATTTTTGAAAGGCAATTTCAAAAAAAAAAAAAATCGGCCGAACGTAGGGGTCGCCTTTTAAGATTTTTCGTCACTTCTTCGGCATTCGGATCTTAAAGAATGATACATGGATGCTCTTGTCTAGAAGACCACGCATTTTTGTGGTTTCCATTAGAACTATTAGTAGAACTATTTTAAAAAATGTATTGACGAATGTAGGTGGCACCGAAAAATTTAAAAAGGTGAACCCTAGGTTCGGCAAAAAAAATCGAAATTGCCTCGCAAAAATACTTTAAGACTCAGGGGTGTACGGCGAAATTTTTTGTTTGCTTGTGAGGTGACACGGTCTAATATACATATGTACATAATAGCATGCATGTATGTAAGTATGTACATTAGGGTGCCCATCGAAAATGCTCTTTTTGGAAATTTCAAGACCCTACCCCCTAATTTTATTCATTTCATTATGAGAAATACGATTGCCTATTTTTATAGATTTTTTAAAGGTCCTTTAGAGATCGCCACCTGTCCATTTAGGTCAGAAAATACGATTTTGTAGATTTATGAGTTTTTGAATGACTATTTTGGACTCGATTTCAAAGAGCGAATATGATTTGAGAAGGGGATAAATAGGCCTTTAAAATTGTATGTAATAATCTATTGGCTTGTTGAGTTTTTTATCGGGTAAAATAAAAAAAAAACGTATTTCTCGTAATTTTTTTAATTTTGACCATCGATAATTTCCACAATTGCAAAATATGTAGTACTATCTAAAATTAAATAGCCCATTTGTTGCAATCGCATAAAAATTGTCGAGGTAAGGCGACTGAATGTACCGGACTTTCAGTTTTTTTTTGTGCACTGTGTCTAATTAATTCATCAATATTTATTCAAAATTTATATATACAATCGCTCTTTAGCAACAAGCCGAGTCCGACAATAGATTATTATATGACATTTTAAAGGCCTATATATCCTCTTCTCAGGTCATATTCGCTCTTTGAACTGGAAGCAAAAGTACTCATTCAAAACTCATTAATCTACAAAATCGTATTTTCTAACCTAAATCGACAGGTCGCGAACTCTAATTGACCTTTAAAAAATCTATAAAAATAGGCAATAATATTTCTCATAAAAACGAATAAAATTAGGGGCTGAGGTCTTGAAATTTCCAAACGCGCATTTTCGATGCGCACCCTAATGTACATATGTATGTGTGTAAATGCATTTGCCTGCATAATTTGTTTAAAATAAAAGAGCTATTAAAAACCAGATTACACAAAAAAGTAAAGAAGCTGAAATTAGCCGCCGCACACACACACTCAACACTGACCTACATTTATGAGTGCATTCATACATACGTACATATGTATGTATGTATACATGCCAAAAAATCAATTGACTGCGATATCGTATGACCGTATGCATATGCAGATGAATGAATGTAGGTAACAGCTCGAAACAGTGCAAGCGGGGTTGGCGAACGCGATCGGTAGCTGGAAGCTGGAGCATTTTTGAGTTTAGCTATTTGGCTGCGAGCCGAATGTATGTTTTAGTTGAACTTGCGGTTGCGGTCGTTGAAAGCGAATTTGGGATATGGAGCAGAATTAATTTTGAACGATGCTGATGGTAGGTAGCGGGCAGCAAGATCCGCAGCTCAGCAGCATGTGGGGGGGGGGCCTTCATGAAAAGCAGCAAACATGCGTGTTAAACCGGCGTATGGGGAGACAAAAAAGCATGCGATTTTTTCTTTTTTTTTTTTTGATTTTGTAATTTGCATTATTTATTTGCTTGATTTAATTTCCAAGAAGACAGCGCCACTGGCAGTTAAAGAAGCATCTGAGAGCGCTGGAACAATATGCTTGCTTGTAGCCAATTTCGATGTAAGCTTAGTTGCCTTCAATGCTCCCCGGTCGTTTACAAATTTCTGGCGTTTTTTTTTTCATTTAAGTTATGTGATCTTTTACACATTTACATATGTATTCAAGTAAATATTTGGGTATATTCTTTTTTTTTTAGTACTCTTTTCGCTGTATTTATTGCATAATCTAGACTGAAGATCAACGTGCCTTCAGCGTGTCGGCTTGTATTTAGCGCAGCCGCATGGGAACACTATGCCCGCACAAGCAATTTGATGAGGTATTTTTTTTTATCGTCATTCATTTTTAATTTATCTATATATACTTATGTACATACTTAGCTTATACATATGTATGTATGTATGTATGTATGTACAATGTATCTCGTTGTGTAGCTATTCTAGCCACATTCTGCAACTTTGTCAAAATCAAATGAATATCATTTGCATAAAATACCTATAATGAATGTGAAGATGTTTCGCAAATTTAACGCATTTGTTTGCTTACGTTTTAAAGCTTATTTACCGTTAAGGAGATCTATAGATTATAACCAGTTTGCTGGACAACAGCTCGAAATTCTATGCATTCTTCAAACAAATGCCATGTTTCTTTTGTCTAAAATCTGTCTGCAAGTAAGTCTTAGGGCCGTTTTCGCATTGACCAGTTAAGTAATTCACATTCGACAAGTAAATAATTTAAAGTCAAACTGGTTAATGTGAGTTAACTCTTCACCAGGGCTGCCCACTATCCTTAGCTATGAAGTGCCATATTGAGTGCCAAAATGTGCCAAATAAAAAATTGAAAGTGCCAAAAAATGTGCCATTCTTTTTAATTCTACCCATTTAGCATTCAAATTAGAAACAAATTCCTAAAACAAAAGTCCAATGCCAAAATGAGATAAACCAGTTGTATACACTATAGAAATTTGAAAATTTTAGTTGAGAACAAAAAAGCGCACGCAAAGGATTTCACAAAAATATATTGAAATACTACTATTTTTTAAAAGTTTCATAAAAAATTAAGTGTCATTCGATGTAAAATAGGGCCAAAAATGGCACGGTTTGAGCCAAGTTGGCAGCCCTGCTCTTCACTGTGACAGTTTTTTTGTTTGTAGTTCCTTGTCTCCGAAGTTCAAAAACTTTTTTATATTTCCTTATTCTTTTAGGAAAACTTGGTTGCAATTTTATTCTAAATATGTACATATGTATGTATATGCTTTTAATAATACAATAGAAAAATATGCATGCGTATGTGTGTGTGTATGTTTAATGTATGTATGTGAAACTCGCTTAAATTAAACACGTTTAAGTGCCGCATCAATGTCTATTTGCTCATCTATATTAATACAAATGAATATAAATGTATATATGTATGTATGTATGTATTTGTTAACTTTATGAGAGTATGGCCCTTTATGTGCTCTTTTTCATATACATACATATGTATTCATGTTTTCATGTACATATGTATGTATGTAGCTATAATTACTAAGTACAGTGCGCTAGCAAGATTGAGCTTAAAAGAATGCATCTCATTGTGCACCACTTTAGAAGACTACATTGACTAGGTAACTAATATTTATATACATATGTAAGTACATTTCTTTTGTTTTTTGTTTATTAAAAATAATTCATTGATGCAATTTAGCTTCCAACATGGCCTCTTCACTCGCTTAATCTAATCTAATAATCATCATCACTTCTCACTCGTTGCAGCCGTCGTTGCCTTTTTTATCAACCGCCGACCGCAGATTTCTTTAGTATTTTTTATTAGGTCTTCAGCCTCCCAACATTCTCGGAACTTCGTTCGACTGCCTTAAACAGCCGAGGGATGCGCTGCAATGTATTCTAAGGCGCGCACAATAGCTTCTGGAATTGGTGGTGGTGTTGGAATATGCGAACCGGTAGGTTGGAAACCATTCTCATCGGCTGTGTAGCTAATTGAGACCCGTTCACCTTCGGGTGATACATACTCGTATTGGCCAGCTACACCCGCTGGATTGCCGGCTTCTTGCTGTTGTATGCCATTGCTGGTTTCGAAGGCGTAGGCATAGTTGCCCTCCGGATCCGCGACATCGTTCTTGAAACTCAGCACCTGTGCGTCCTTGTCGATATTATCGGCGCAGGCGTAAGCGAAGAGAGTGGCGAGCAGTAGCTGAAAAAAAGGAGACAGGGTTGTTGAAATTCAAATAAGTGGTTTAG